CCAGGTCTTTGGATAACTTGCCCAAACGTTTGGCCTGCGTAGTCCAGTGTGCAATTGCAGCACCTTGCGGCTGATTCTCCCAGGTTATATATACTGGGCGATCCTGCTGATAAAGCTTAAGTTAGTGTAGCAGCCACCCTTCTCGAATGATCTTTCACTCCACATGACCCACATGCTTCGCCTGAGGCGACTCTGCGCTTTCCATCCCTTTTTTGACTCATCATGGCCGGCTTCGCTCTGTATGCCAGACACTGCCGGCTTTCTCTCTGGCACCGAACCAAGCACTATGGTTCGATCAGCCCCACGCATAAAATGACAAAGTACATCAAAGTACTTATTTTCCAACAACAACAACAACAGAAAAATAATCCAAATTCAACCTAATGGTATAGGCCAAACTCATTAAGCGAACCACCCTGACAACACTATGTCATCCAGAATTGGGGCTCCTCCGATCACCCGAAGGAAAACATGTTTCAAGCCCAGCATCCTATGTCTCTCCACTTCCGCTTCCGTTGGATCCATGGATGCTCACTTCAGAGCCGAACGGCAACTAAATATGTTCTGTCTTTGGTTTTGCGGCAAGGGCTGCTAAACAGCAGCAAAAATCATGAGGATACCAGCAGGATCACCCACCGTGGCCTGCGACGCTCCACCCACTGGCTGCATGCCTATGAAGCCAGTGGGTGTCAAGTGCATGCGCACCCCACCGTTCCGCCACAGTGACACAGTCAGGAGTGTCAAGTGTGAACAGATGGGTACTTGCCTTTAGCTGAAATCTTAACCATCCCTGGCCATCCACATGTTACGTCCACAACTAGTTGCTTCTTCATCCAAATCAGTTTGTTGGACCTAGACCTGGGCATGCCCTGCACTGCTCCGATACATATATTTTTTGGTTATTCTTTTAACGCACTTTGTCTTGACACTCAAAAAGGGCTCCAGTAGGTATTCATGCCGCTAATGGTGCCATGTGGAAAATGGTTCGCACTCCTTCTTGGCGATGTGAGACTCTAAAACGCTTCTTTGGGCTCACTTTGCCACCATAGTCCATTTTCTTCTATTCAACTCTTGTCTCTCTCTCTCCATGCTTTTGCATGTCTCTAAGGAACTGGGTTCCCAAAGATTGGCGATATCTCTGTTTGTCTATCTGGAAAAAGTCTCCTCACTGCGCATTGCAATAACTCTTGATACGTCTCCATCTCTTTCTCTACCATCATATCTGCTGCCTCTTGCAGTCCTCTACCCATGAGGTTCCAACGTTTTCATTGAGTTGACCAAGTTTTGCTTCAGGTGGACCACACATGTGTTTGGTTTGCTGTATTGTTCTCTGATTGATATTTCTCTATTTCCTATCTTGAACCTTCTGTTCAATGGTCCTTCTGATGGTGTTGCTCCATCTGTAGCTGCTTTCAACATCACTCTGCGTCTCCAATATTGTCCTTCTGTTGCTTGCATATCTTCCAAGCTCCTTCTGGCTAAGAAGTTTCCTGCGTTTAACTCTTGTAGTACATCATAAGCGATGATTGTTCAGTAAAGCCTCCATTGAGAATCAAACCACAATGAAATCTCCTGGCGCAGTTGTGTAACTGATCAGTTTTCTGTTCAAGATCCTCAAACTCTCTGATGTCATTACCAAACTGGTACTCGACATCGTCTGCTCTATATTCAGTATGCTCCCAAGATTCCCAAGAGTGCCGCTTTTCAACTCGATAGTACACGTCATCATATCGCTTTTCAATATGAGTTTCCATAATGCAAAGTTCAGTGCTGCAAGCCAATGATAATGATCATGATGATCGCTGCAATAATTCCTCTAGTCTCTCTGATTCTTTGTCCTCCAGCAGGCGTTGCGTTGATGTCTGCCATGTTGAATCTGTTGGCACTTGGCACACATCTTGAAGTCGTTCCTGCTCTGGGTCCATGGTGGTTGTCCATCCGGATGCCTTTTCCGGCTCCTCTCTTCATCACGAGTTGGTGTGCGCTCGATGAATCTGTGAAGATGCAATGGTCCACCTGTGTCCCAAGAGCAAAATCAAGAACTGCACTTTTTAATATATATATATGTGTGTGTATGGATTACATCTGGTGCTGCGGGGGCTTTTGTTGTTCTGCTTCACATGATGATAGACTAATGGTCTTCTGCGTCCTGCTGTTGAACAATGGACAACTATTCTTTCTGTCGCTTTTGTTTCCACTCCAGTCTGAACCTGAGAACGTTTCCAAGTCCAAAAGCTTTCTCCTTTCTTGACATAACCTTCTCCTGCTTGTGGAAATTCAAGCGCTAGACAGTAGTCCATAGTCTTCTTCAAGTTTCCGATGAAATGACATAGCTGTAGAGTTCTTGTATCCTGGCGCAAACAATCCCATATCCTCTGGCGGCGCTGGCTCATAGCTGAAGATTGTGATTGAAGGAATGACTGCATCATCAAAGAATTGCTCATCAAGTTCCTTTTTCATCATGCTTTCACAATATTCAAGAATTAAGCATCTACCTCCTCTTTTCACAAAAGTGGTTCTCATCAGCTCTGGTGATTCTTCCACTTAAGCTTCCAACTACCAGCCCACGCTCATTGAACCTCCAACCTAATTCTTTCTCTAAAGCTTCAGGTACTTGCACCGCACCTCCAAGCAATTTTCATCTTCGTCTCGAATGACTCTAACGCGGCCTTGAACTGTCAATAGCGATTTTGCAAGTTGAGCGGTACCTTCAAGTCACCATTCTCCAACATTTGCCCTCTGCTGTTGATTCCCCAGTCATGTCCCATCAACCTTCCATAACAAAGTATGGGCTGATTCACCTTTGAACTGAAGATCACAATCTCTTTGAGAAGAACTTCTCCCATCAAGGTCACGCAAGGGAATTTCAACACTATGCGCACCTCATGTGGAGATACGATTTCCTTGTGCATCTTGTAGCGCCATACTCAAAGGGAATAATGCTACATCAGCTCCACTATCAATAATGATGGCCGCGTCCTCATTCTTCCCCAAGTCTCCTCACCATACCATGGGTTCATCATCCTCTGAAATTGAGATTGACATCTGACATCTCCTCAACTTCCTGGAGCTCTGGCTCATCATCATCATCATCGTCATCATCATCTCCAACGTAGAAGCGAATTGCTCGAATTCCTTGATCTTCTAGCTCATCATCCTTCTCTCGCAAGTCAAAGATGATTGGCTCATTGTTCTCAATCCTCCTGACCACTGGTTTGGTCTCTGCTGAGCTACCTTGTTGGCTCACATTGGCACGCTGTTGGCCAACTGTATGAGTTGTCACTGATGCTCCTCCTGAAGTTGAAGGGGCTTGATCACTTGCTACCTGTCGAACATTGTTCCTCCAACAGTCTTTAGCAAGATGTCCTGGAATTCCACAAGTGTAACAGGTTGCCACACCCTCGGCTTTGCCTTTACCTTTGCCCTTGTGATCACCTTCCATTCCTTTCTGATCTCCTTTTCCTTTCGTCTCTTTGCCCTTAGCATCTTTACCTTTGCCTTCCTGATGGTCACCCTTACCCTTTTTACCTTTTCCTTTGGCATCTTGGGCTCGATCAGCATCCACTGGCCCCTTGATAGTCTGTACTGCTACCAGCCACAAAGGAAGTAGCCCACTTCTGCTGAGAACGATCCCATTGCGACACTTGCTCCCTCAAAGTTGCGTATTGAACCTTTTCGCCATTGGCAAGTAGGATTTGAGCTGCCCACCTACACATCTCAAGAATAGCAGATTTCAACTCTTCCTGAATTGTAGTCCCTGACTTGACTGTCTCATCCTTCAAGAGTTGAGGTTGTAGCGTGCTGTTCATTGAAAATGCTGGCCATGGCTGCCCCCAAGTGCGCTAAGCCTCGCGCCTTCGAAGTTGGTTTCAAATCTTTATTCAAACTCCTCCAGGCGTCACATCCATTGGAGTCCTCCACAGCTTTCACCAACTGCAGTGCCCTTCCTCTCATTCAATGAAGCTAACAACCCACAAAGCTGGATGCACCTGGTCTTCTCTGCCTCCGTTGCCAAGCCACAATCAAACTTCTCATTTGGCTTCTCATGAATCTCTTTCAAGTCTTTCACGTAGCCCTCATCAAGTGCGCTCAAACACTTTTCAAAGACCCATGACCACTCTCTGTCTTCTTCTCGTGACTTATGGTCAAAGATGTTGGGCCTCGCTATCAATCTTGACCAATCTGTTGTCGATGACTTGGTTGATGTTGTTGCCAGCGTACTCTGTGTTATAGGTTGAAGGATTTCTCTGATCTCCTCCATGTCTTCTTGGTAGTAATATCTTTTTGACACAATGTACTGGGTACAGAGTGTTGCACACAACAGTCATTCACCAGTCCAGCTGTTTGGGTGCAAAAGGGATAAAGTCTATGCTCGAAATCGCACCCGGAATCCCACCTGGGGCTTTCTCTCTCAGAGCTCTAGAGGGGTTACCTCCTTCTCAGCTCCGCTACGATACGCACTTTTTCTTGATACTCAAAAAGGGCTGCAGTGCAGTAGGTATTCATGACGCTAATGACGTCACGCTTCTGCGCACTGATTCCTATGGAAAATGATTCGCAATACACAGCGGGGTCCGCGCTGGCGGAGACCATCCATGGGCATTTTCCTCGGCGCAGCACAATATTCCAAGACACTGACACTGATGCATGAGCCGAAACGGAATAAAAGGAGTTCCGAACGCAAACAAAAGTGGAAAACAGAAAAGCTCGGAAGCTGAGAATTCTGAGAACGAAACCTGAAATCAGCCGCCAAGAGTTGCAGGTTCACACCCAGCAACTTCAAGGCTCCGAGGCCAGTTAGACAATCTAAATTGGAGCAAAAAATGCCGCAAAGTACTCAACTCAAAGAAAGAACATATGGAATTAACAGGAACAACATGCTAGCTAAAACGAATAAACAAAGTCAAAAGTCAATCAAAAAGGTCCATGTGGGCAAACCACAGAGAACACTTCTTGTTCACGATACCCTGCTTAGATGCATCCTGAACAGAAACACATGCCCTGATGTTTGATAAAGCAGGTTCAACACTCACTATCCTTGTATTGGATCATCCATCCCGATTCACCTGCGCATTGGAATTGGGATCCTCCTCTGGCTTGGGGCTTGAAATGTCTGTTACACATGCACAGTAAACTACAGGAAGACACTAGCTCAATCCGATTTGCTTCAAACAAGCCACAATCCTTTAGCCGTCCATTTTCTGCTCTAGTGGAGCTTCTTCAGGACGCGGAGCAAGCGGTTCGCTCCCTCTTCTACCCATACTCGTTGTCCTCCCACAGAAAATCAGGGAGACGTTTCAGTCTTCAACCTTCCAGTCGGAAGACTCGAAAGTGTCATGATCTCCAAAGACTGAAAAGGCTGTGTGATTGAAGTTGCAGTCAACATCAGCTTAATTTTTCTCAAAACCTGGGAATCTCCTCCACCCAGCTCCCAGCCACCCCTCGCGCGTCTTCTTGCCCCCAGAGGCTTCTGTTTCATTCTCTTCCCAGTCCTGACAGCGTCTCATCCAAGCCTTCGAGTTTCTCCACTCGCGCCAGCAGACTGTGTAGAACCTCACGATTTCACACCAAGCCAAACTTCATCAAAACCAAATCAACACAGTACAAGAACTTAATTTCCCTGTCTACTTTCAAGGCAAGCGCCGGCTACTATGTACGGATTGCGGAAACTAAGCGTAGAATGTTTCCGCGCGAGAGGGAAAGCAAGGCCACCTTTTGTTAGCTTGTTGGCGTTTTGACATGTTCATACCAGAAATGTGCAAGTCTTATATGTGCAACATGGCAAGCAACATCGGCCTCTTCAACCTTGTCAACTCCTTGCTGCCTCTCGCGACCTCAAGTACTCAAAGGCGTTTCACAGCTATCGAACAGCCGTGACAGAGTATCTGAAAATCCTGGGTTTGTTTCGATGCATCTTCAATACAAGTTCTTTGCAACACTCTTGCGCCGTCAAGGTTTCTGCTGAAGGTGGTCTGCTTCAGGTCTGCCACCTGCACTGCAGGCATATCCAACCACTTGATAGTTCCAAACTTAGCGTCGTACTCCAAATTGATGCTGTTTTCGAAATTAATGATTGCAGCAGCGCGGCAAAGGAATGAATGACAACCTTTTAAGGCATGTTGCAAGTAGAAAACCTTCTTGCTCAAATGAGTCAGAGCGATACATATACATCAACCGATACACGTATATATTTATATATCAAGATGTTAATAGCACTTAATAGCTAAGTCCTAGCTGAAACAGGATAGAGTTGTGACTAGAAATTCACCAGACAAGTCCAAAATCAAGGAAATAAACGAGAAAGAACGATCAATTATCCCGACAAGAGACCCCAAAGAGTGTGTGTGAGGCCTACAAGCAGAAAGTCTAGGGATCTAGACGCATTCGGGTCCAGAAAGGTGATGGCGGCGATGAAGGTGGAGATCGTGGTGATGGTGGCGGCGGTGGTGAGTGTGACTGTGAGTGTGAGTGTCAGTGTGAGTGCGAGTGTCTGTGAGTGTGAGTGAGAGTGTGAGTGTGAGAGTGTGTGTGTGAAGCCCTCAAAATCACAGGGAACCTTTTGGTTTTGAGCAGGGGACCAGGCCAGACGCCATTCCACATACCTGCTCTACTATTCAGGAAACAGAAGGAAATGGTACTCGACACACTTGTGCGTCGGTGCCTCCCGTCTGTTTTCCTCTGTTCTACTCTATAGGTCTGCAGGTAGGCCTCCAAACTTGTAACGTTGCCCTTTAACCTGA